AATCTTTAATGTCCATCTGAACAGGCAGATGGGTCATCAGTTTAATGTCTCGTCCGAAGGGCTGCAACACACCTCCAGCATTGCATTGTGGAGTCCTATAGCTCAGTGGTTAGAGCACTCACCTCGCAAGCGAGAAACCTGGGTTTGATTCCCGGCAGGGCGAGAGACCTTGGGCAAGTTTCCTTACTCCACACGACTGATAATAAACCCTCAGGAAAAAAAACAATAATAAAATTGGTCACTTCAATCCACGACTGTTTGTGGGACACTGTTGTGCACAATTGGCTGCTGGGTTTCGCCCACAACCATACAGTCAATTCACTTTACAGTATATTTTGTGAAGTGCTTTGAGACGTCTCGAAGACGTGAAAAGCGCTATATCAAATGCAAGGATTATTATTATTATTGGAATGTCATCTTAGACTATGTGAGTTCAATCCCCAACTGCGCTTGAGCCCACAACCTTGTGAGTCAGAGGAGAGAATGCTACCAACTGAACCAGGCTGATACCCAATTGATAGAACTGTCATGTGAATTTCCAAATTTAGAAACTGGTATTTTTAAAGAAGTTTAAAGAAAGTGTAAACTCCTTAACGTCCAAAGGTTTTAACTTTCAGCAATTTGAACGCATAATAATTCAGGTTATTTATCTATTGGTGAACAAAGACTTAATACAGTAACAACCCCGTTATAGCTCGTTTCACTATAGTGCAAATTTACTAATCACACGGTTGACCTGTGGACCCTATTTACTGCACTTGCGCACAGATTGCTTCCCATATACCGGCTGCTGTTTTCATGCGACAATGACTGACACTTCGGCAACGACCTCATGACCAGGGAGGCAGCCATTTAGCTTCCTTCGTCATAAAAATTTACCAACTCAGCGTCACCAGGTCACTGTCAACATCACTTCCTGTTTTGAATATATGCAGCAAGTAAAGTTGGTGGTTTCCTTATCCTGTTGATAAGTACCGCAAATCAGACCTCAATATCTCTGAGTTTTAGAAGTTTTATTAGAAAGGGCAATGTTTTGAAAGATTTTGGTTGTTTGATGCTTGGTGTGAATGAAAACTTTAGTTTTAGATAGCATGTTCCCATCTAAGGGGCCATAATAAATGCATTAATTAATTGACCAAGCTAGCACTAGTAATGAACAGTCATTTGTAAAATTACTGTACTTGGTGTGTTTGTTAGCAATAAGCCCTTGAGGGAATTGTTTACTCGTTCTTCAGATGTGAAACATATTTTATTTTGCAGATCAACAGAAATTGCAATGTACTACTTTAGAATTCAGGAGTATAGTCAGTCATAGGTTTATCTCCAGTTAGCTGTTTGTGGAAGAAAATCATATCCCCAAATATAGCACTTATAATGTAATATGAACGCATTATGCTTATTGTTAAATTAGCACTGCAGTCTGTAATCAGTTCAAGTGTTTTTAATTGGTGGTTAATTGTTAATGAATCCTTGTGGACTAAGTAACCTTTTAATGTGTCTTAAACGTTCAACCATTACCAGTTGTCTCCCTTGTTCTAAAATGTTTTGTTGTTTTGCAAGCTTGCTTCAGGTGTACTTGAACGATGCTTGGTTTAAGGAAAAGAGAACATGCATTTTTATAGTACCTTATCACCTCAAGGCACTTCATAAGTAATTATTGTCAAGTGTAAGGACTGATTTTGCAGACTAACCGTACTGTAAAAGCTTCCTTCCACTTCTGCTGATAAGGTTTATATTCACTGTAAGTGGTGAAATTATATGAGTGAAACCATCATGAAGTAGATATCGTCAAGTTTAACATTTTGATCATCATAATATCTCTTGCATTTAATTTAGTGCCCATAACGTCACCGTATCAAATGCTTCCCATAAAGTGCAGTGACTGTGTGTTTGTAAACGAGCCCTGTAGCTATTTTGTACACAGCAAGATCCAACAAACAGCCAAGAAGTGAATGTCCAATTTTATCTGAAGGATTGTTGGGTAGGACGCTAAGAGAAACTCCTGTCTCTTTTTGACTAGGATTATAAGATCTTTAATCTCCACCCAAAGGCTAATCAAATCTATCTTAATACCTCATCTGCAAGATGGCACCTCTGAGATTTCAGCAAACGTAAATGTAGGGAGAAATATGAGAGTGTGGGGTGATATTAACAAAATAACCCGCAGATTGTGTCTGTGTGGGTAGAAGTAAAACCTGGGATTGTGATCATAAAAATAGGAAATCAGAGCTATCATTTTTCATAGAAATCAAAATTAATCATTGCCCATCTTTTCACTATTTTGGTGATGATTTGCCTTTAGTATCTCTTGAGTCTTCAAAAGACTTATTAGGTTCCTCACCTTCAGTACTTGTGATAAGGACACTGTGACATGAATCTCAGCTCCAGAAATGTGAATTTATCATTGAATATTTCTGGTGATATATTTTTAGAACTTCACTGAAGAAAAGGGGAGACTCTATACTCGAAAATGTAAAAGAACCTTTTGGTAAACCTTTTTTTTATCTAAATGAACCTTTTATGATCTCCTAAAAATAAACTGTCAAATTCCATCAGCAATTCACTGTGGCTTTGCTTTCTTCTACTCAACCAGATGTCCTATCAAAATAGAATCAGTCAGATTGGAAAGTCTTTTGATTGTAGGTCGCCACAGGCGACCTCTATAGTTTCTAAAAATTAAAACATTGGATGGCTGGGTGAAATTTGTGAAGGTGTGAAATTAATGAGTTTGATATCTGGTAACACAAAAAGTCTGTGGCATTCTGCTGTAAGTGCATTTGTGAAGGTGCAATAAGGAGATATTGACTGCACCAAGCCCTGCAGAAAATATAAGGATGCAAAGGCATATTCTCAATCTCAGGGGAAAGCGCGGATGTTTCAACTTAATGGTTAAGCATTGTCACTACCACAGCTTTCTATTAACAGGAATATCAAAATCATTTTATTTGGAAATTTCTGAATTTATCATCTCCACCTGAGTTGTTTCACTGTCTGGCTCTTCCTTCTCCTCCATGTAGGAGTCCTGTATCTTAGTGTTTAGATCACTCGGCTTGCAAGCGAGAGGACCTGGGTTTGGTTCCCGGCAGGGTGAAATGTTGGGCAAGTTTCTTTACTCTTTATGCCTCTGTTTACCTAGCAGTAAGTGGGAACCCAGTTGTTAGTCGATTGGCAGATTGCTTTTCTGGGAGTAATAATCCCTTCAAAAAAAATAATAATAATTGTTTGGTCACTCAATCCATGACTGTGGGTCACTGCTGTCTGCAATTGACAACCGCAATTCCCCCCCCCCACCCCCCCCCCCCAAAATATACAGTCAATTCACTTTCCAATATATTCTGTGAATCGTTTTGAGACGTCTCAAAGACATGATAATGCGCTATATCAAACGCAAGGATTACAATTATGTCGTGTACATACGGACTTGAGATGGGTACTTTACTTATCATGTTCTGTAATATTTGAGATACAAATTTGTGGAGAGTGCCTTTCCTGAAAATTGGAGACATTGCTTAGATCTGTAACTGAAAAATAAAAAGTGCTTTCAAAAAGTCAGTCTTAACAAATCCTTGCTCTGTCAGTTGGTGTGGACTCTTTCTGCGCTGATGATTTCTATGTTTCTAAAATCAGCTATAGAAGGAGTTTTCCTCAGAAACACAATGGAAGAAGATTAAACATGACGTGTGATATATAAGTTTGATTTAGGGGATATTTCTTTTGTCTTCTCCCCCCACACACACCTTTTATACTTGCTATTACTTTACATGGCAGTATTAGTCTTTAATTGCGGGGAATCTTTTTCATTCAGACTATCATTCGTTGATGAAAACAATCTTGTTCTTAAGCCTTTTTTCTCTTGGTGAGTTTTGCTTTGCTTATGCTCATCTGGGCAAGAGATGTCAGTAATGGGAACTTCATGTGCTTAGTGTCTGCATCAAACAGGTATAGCAGAGGACCTGCTACCTGCTCCAATAATGTGCCTTCACCCCAATCTCAGAAGAGCACCCTCTGCTGAGCTAGTGTGATTATTTTCCCCTTTCTGCACCAGCCATCCATTTTGTCTGTGCGAGGTTAGAAATGTAGTGCTAAATTAAGCATAGTTTTGTTCTGTGTACCCACACCCATTAAGAACAAGGTTGAGACTGACCCAAGCTTATTTCACATAAGAACCTTACAGTCAAAGGAGAATTCCATCCCATCACTCTCTGATGGATTGAAGCTCGGGACCCTGAGTTGAAGGGATGGTGTGCTAGCTAACCAACTGCACCAGTTAGTCTCTTGTTCTGAAACATGCTAATCCTTTTTAACTGAAGAAGGGCATCGATGGGAGAAACACAAAAAATATTTTTATTTGATGCTTTGCCCCTAAGGTAACCAAATGCATCTCGAGACTTGTGCTTAGGATGTTTGTTATGCGACTTCGGTACACAAGAAATTATTTATTCCATGGGTGATAATTGTCTTGCTCTCATTTATGGGAGCAGAACTGGATATTTGTTCTGTGCTTTCTGTGCCCACTAAATGTTCAAGGGTTCACCCTCATTGCAGGGACAAAAGACACTCATTAGCTATTGTAACCTCTGATTGCTTTATAAAGTGAAAAAAACTGCATACTTATCCTCAGGCTAATGTTAGAGTGCTAATGACTTTGTGTTGCCATGGGTACCAGCTTTATATTAAAAAGTAGTGATGTATTTAGGAACTGGCTTTCATGGTTATTTCAGCTTTTATGATTATTTCAACTTTGGTCTTGCATTTGTGCTGTACGTGAATGGTACATTTTAAAAAACCTTCAAACTATTATTATCAGCCCAGTTCTCTCAGGGACCAGTTTCTTATCTATTTTCATCTCTGCTCTGAAGCTACATAAGCTGCTGTATTTCTGTGTGTCGGCTGACTGCTGCAGCCTTGTGAATGAATACGGCAGCTAGCTGCAGGTGAAGCAGCTCTTTAAAAATCCAATGACCAATGGTTTCACATCAGACAATCATCTGCCTCTGTAGCGTCATGACCACAACTGGTTGGGAGCAAGAGGATGGTTATCACATAGCTACAGTAGACTTAGCAGTTGTGTGTGTGGGTGGAGTGAGCTCTCATCCTTGTGAGCAACGGGGGAGAAGGGGGAAAATCATGTCTTCCAGGAAGGCAGTTACATAGCAGTATCCGACTGAAATTTGTCAAAGAACCTAGTAGCTGAAATTTATCTGAGGTAAGAAATGTGTGTTCACTTTTTTGTGCAGGATTTTGCAACATTGCATGTTAGATTGCACTTCATAACCAACCTTCTTGGTAATCAAGGAGTAAAAATGATTTAAATATCAGCTACGGTGTAGAAGTTGACTGTGGTGTTGTGGTCTAGTGACCTCCAAGATTAATTAAAATAGTTCATCTTTTACTCTTCAGCACATTAAGCAGAAAATTGACTTTTTCTAAATTGTTCTGACAAGAATATTTCAATTTCTTTATTGACTGTATTCAACGCCAATGCTCCAACATACTGTAACACTGATTTAGTTGCCTACTACTGTAGTCTGTATTGTAAACAGAAGCATAATAAGATCTGTTCTGCATTACTCAGTTATTGTATTAGTTACAGCTGCAAAACAGCTAAGGTTTACACTATCGGAGATGAACATGTTTGTAGAAAACCGTGAAAATAACATAAATTACAAAACACTAGTTTTCCGTTTAAGCGCTTTACAGCTTCATTACTTTGCACATGTGGTTCAGTACTAATCCAAAAATGTAATTAATCCAGATTTTTGATTATAATAATTCTAATGATTGGGAAGATCTTGTATCGTATCAAAGACTTGCTGATCTGAAAGCAATTTGCTTGAAATTTTCTCCGCAAAAAGAACATGTCTTGTCCAGTGAGAACGGATGCTGCAAAGTATAGTGCACATCATTCATTTAAATCTAGTGGATACTTGGTTTTCCTAACTGAATGGCTAAATATTTTAATAGTGTGTGAAGCTTTGTGTCAGCAGAATTGGTTCTTTGCTCTGTACTAGAAATCCCTATATGTTAGCAGAGTTATGTTACCTTGACAACCATGAGACCTTCATTGTTGGAACAAGCTCCACTTCAGCATTGGGCTGGTGCAGTTTTTCAATATAATTTAAATACTGTTAAATATTGCAATTTTTAATATAATTTAAATTGTGTACTGTGCTGTACTGTAAAAGGCAGATGACAAATATGCCTGTCATGGCAAGGGAACCGATCTGGATAAAGCAGTCTGTATGACACCCATCGATCATCAAGATCACCTTGACGGCTGAGAACAGTTACCAAAAGTGTGACAGCAGAGCATCCAGGTGCAACTTTTCATAGATCAGTTCACAAGATCCAATGAAGCATTTTTACAAAAAATGTTGAATACTTTACACAGTTGTGTGTAGGTATGTAACGCAATCTAATCCTTTCTTTTTCCAAAAATGTCAATCAGAAATATTTGCCTCAACAGTATGAGTAAAGAAAATGGTACGGGTAGGTGGGGAGATGGGGAAGGGGAGGTAGGTGAACAGTTGTGTTTTAACAGTATCAATTTATTCTTGTTTTCTCCAGGCAAACACCAAGAGCAGGTTACTAAAGCAGCTTTTTAAGCTTAAAAAGCTGCCTTAATGGCCTGCTCTTGGTGTATGCTGATATTAGAATGGTGCTTTAAATTGAGGAATATTAAAATTGAGTTTTTTAAATTTCATATTAATTTTACTGACCTTTATAATTGAAGAAAACCTTTGAGATGATTTGTGGCAACAGACAGTTATATTTTAAGCAGTATTTGGCAGGATTAAGTGAATTTCCTTCATACTGCTATAATTATAATTAATGTTTGCAGATGTCTGTTCATTTAGATTTTAAAATAATTTAGAGAGTGAATTATTAAACTGTTTAACTTTTTAAATGATCTCCGAGTCCTATTCAGCGTGCTTGTTTTATTTAATAAATGTAAATTGCAGTCCCCCTATAATAACTGTTATATTTGCAATAATGAATGTTAATAGTGCGTAATGACTGCTCCGTGGTTAAAGGCAGTTAACATAAATGAAGTAGCGATAGTGCGGATTCAACTGCGCGCCAATATACTGTAGTGTAGTTATCCTCATACTTCTAATTATAAGAAAACCCTATTAGATTTCTAACCGTAGTGTGAAATGTTCAGGGGCCCATCCCACTTAGAATTTATTTTTATTATATGTTTGATTGTCACTGTATTTGCTGTGACTTTTAAGAGTGATTTGATACATATACTTAAACAAAGGCTCATTGGGAATTTCAACCTTGTCCATCCAGCATCAGTTTCACAGACATTAAGTAGCTTTTTCTAGCTTGTTAATAACATGGGTTAAGCTTAATTTTCATGAGTCAGTCAGTTTAAAAAGTCATCTTTTTTACCCGGAATAAGCAATGCCCTGAACTGAAAATGTTTATATCAAATTTTAACTGCTTAAATAATTGTGTGTGTGCGTGTTTCTGCACGTGTGTGTGTGATCACAACATCTGGAAATGTTGCCTCTAATTGAATTACTGCAATTACACTGGTCTGAAGCAGCTTCTGTGTGAATGAGATATAAGAAAACTACATGTAATTGCTTTCAAGTGCCTGAATGCCGTGCTGCTGATACATTCATTTTTGCTGTACAAAAATAATAAAGAATATATTAAATGTTTTGATTTATAAGAAACAATTGTTTGAAATATCCTACACAATACCAAGCATTTTATTTGCTAAACATTCTGTACAATATCATAAAGTGCTGTACATCATAGTCAAAGTTTTGTGAATAAAAGATAGTTGAAATATCATCAGAAGCAATGACCAACGACTTTATGAATCTTCAATAGAAAACCGCTGATATTCTCACCTTTGTGGGGTTGTCATAATGTCTGACATCTGTGTCAAATACAACTGCAAATTCTTCTGGGTGAATGAAGAGGAGGATACTTTGATGTTGCCATCAAGTGAATCATTTTACAAAATTAGCAAAAAGGGTCTTTACAAAGGCATTCTGCGATGTTTTACTACATACAGTACAGCCAGTGGTACATTGGAAACCAAGATCTTAGCAGTGAAAGAATATTTAATGATGTGTAAAAGTGTTGTAATAATATGTATAAACTGCACTTTCATACAGATTCATGTCCTCAAAAGGAATTACTTTGAAGAAAGATCCTAGCGATGTCAAGTACATCATATTCAATGAATTCAGGATAATGAATATTTGTTTGCTGTTATATTTTTTATGGTATTTTATGTCACATAAACCGGCATGTTTTTAACATTTTTAAGAAATGTATTTGACGCAGCACCTTGATTTTTCTGAAAATCACTGTCGATTGTAATGGGATTTCATTTGTTATATTTTCAAACTATATTGAGTCGCTGTAGCTTTTGGTTTTCAAACATTGAGATTTGGCAAACTGCAAATTCCCGCAAACAGGCACAATCCATCAAAAGTCATTTCGTCCTCTGGAAATTTTTAATGGTTTTACTGGTTTTCAGGTCAGTCATTACAAGAATCTTGTGAATTAGACCTTGATTATTATTATTATTATTATTATTGATGTGGCTGGTGCTACTAGGACTATTCCAGTTGCAGTAAAAGATTTGTACAGATGACATTCAATGGATTTATTTGAATGAACAAGAGTTCTGACAATTTGTTATTATTGAAGAAAAGGAAGCCTCCCCTTGGGTTTTACATTTCACAATATAACTGAACATTACTAAATGTTCAAAATTTATATTTCTTGATAAAATTCCTGTAGAGACCCACTTGAGGGGAGTTTGAGGCAATTTTGTCTGTGGTACATGAGAGTTCATCATAGGAAGAATAGCCTCATTTCTCAACGCTCTAAATTTCATTAACTATTATTGTATTTAGTGTCAAAGCAACTTGTGGGTTGAAAGTCAGACCTTGATGTCATTTGACACCTTTGTCTTGGATTCCATGGGAGGTTAGCCACAGCACCAAATCAATGAATATGCTTCAGACATGCAGCCGCCTGAAGTACTGTGACAGCCACAAGTTTCTCCCTTAAATATAAGAGCTAGCTTCTCTGGCGTTTTCTTGGCTAATATGTTTCTTTTGATAAATAGATCCTTGTTGCCCATTTCTCTTAAAATAAATAGATGTAAAAATGTTGCTGATTTGTTATTTAGAGATATATTCTGATGCTAAACACGTGTAGTTTCTCATTACCATCCTCAACATTACCATACCAGAACATTAATGGCACGAATTATTATTTTTAAAAATCTCTCCTTTTGAGTATTTACCAATATGATTTATCTACTCAAGTGTTCACCTTATCCCAGGGCGTGTCTATTTTTACCATACTCATTCTCCAAGCACCCGCAGGTCGTGAGATTGAGCTCTCCTAGGGGTGTGTACTTTGGTACAGTTCACATTGTTCTTTGCTGGCTCTTTAATTCCCTGTATAATTAAATACAGAACCTTGCATTAGTATATTCAACAGTGTCATAAAGATCAGATTTCAACCCTGGCCTCCATGGGGATTGTAAAACAATTGAGAGCAATTGATGAGAGCAATTCTGATGGACAGAAATTTCAAATATGTACTGGCTGCAGACCTGAATTTCCAGTGGCTTTTTCGGCTGGAGCTTTCTCTGACCCAATGAATCATTGACTTTCCTCTTCACACTTTATGGTTTTCCTGGTCATCAGTTTGCAATGTCCATTGGCCTCAATGTAGAATGAGACCTAAGCACGATACAAATCGTGTTTGATTTATAGTTTTATTTATAGGCTGCCATGTTCTATTTTAAATTCACCCTGTGGAAATGTCATCATTTTGCTATCGTGACATGGCTCCTTGTGTTTGATTATGACTTTTGCTACAAAGGGAATTGTTCAGTATCAACTCACAAACATGGCATTTTGAGCAGCAAGTAACAATACTTTGACAAATGTGTTTTTTGGGATCACATCGAAAAGTATTTCAATACTTTTTTGGGGGTGAATGGGAGAATAATGAAACTATGAAACACCAAATATTCAAAGACTGTTTCTTTTTAAATGATATGAAAGTCACAGCTTTAGTTTGCCAGTACAGCAAGTTCCCCCATAACATATGGAGTCCTGTAACTCAGTGGTTGGAGCACTCGCCTCTCAAGTGAGAGAACTGGGTTTGATTCCTGGCAGGGCGAAATGTTGGGCAAGTTTCCTTACTCCACACGCC